GAGCACTGGGTGTTATGCACAAACAATGAATCATGGAACACTACATCAAAAACTAATGATGTAATGTATGGTGATTAACATAACAATAAAAAATAAAAAAATTTGCTAATGGGTATTTTATGACACAGGATGTGGTCTAACTTGGTGAATGTTCCATGTGAACTTGAGAAGAATGTGTGTTCTGCAATTGTTGGATGAAGTAGCCTGCAGACATCAATTACATCCCTTTGATTGATGGTGTTGTTGAGTTCTACTGTGTCCTGATTTTCTGCCTGCTGGATCCATCCAGTACTGACGGAGGGTATTAAAGTCTCTAACTGTGATAATGAATTTGTTTGTGCAATTCTATCACTTTTTGCTTCACGTATTTTGATGCTCTATTTTTGGGTGCCTATACATTAAAGATTGTTATGTCTTATTATAGTATTGATCCTTTTATCATTATTTAATGTTCTCTTTATTCCTGGCAGTTTCCTTGCTCTGAAGTCTGCTCTGTCTGAAATCAATGCACGTACTCCTGCTTTCTTTTGATTAGTCTCGTGTGACATACTTTCTCCATCCCTGTACTCACAATCTGTACGTGTCTTCATATTTAATGTGGGTTTCTTGTTGAAAATATACAATTGGGTCTGATTTTTTATCTACCGTACAATTGCTTTTAGTTGGTGTTTTCAGGCTATTGACGTTTTAAGTGATTATTGATACAGTTGGATAAACATCTACACATTTATTACTGTTTTCTATTTGTTGTCCTTGGTCTTTCTTCCTGTTTTTCCTTCCACTCTTTTTCTGCCTTTTATGGTTTTAATTGAGCATTTCATATTATTTCATTTTCTCTCCTTTTTAAAAATTTTTTTATTTTTTTAAAGATTTTACTTATTTATTTGACAGAGAGAGACACAGCGAGAGAGGGAACACGAGCAGGGGGAGTGGGAGACGGAGAAGCAGGCTCCCCGTGGGGCAGGGAGCCCGATGCGGGGCTCGATCCCAGGACCCTGGGAGCTGAAGGCAGACGCTTAAGGACTGAGCCACCCAGATGCCCCTCCTTTTTTTTTTTTTAAAGAGAGAGAGCATGTGTGAGTGTGGGGGAGGAGTAGAGAGAGAGGGAGAGAGAATCCCAAGCGGACTCTACAGTGCGGAGCCCATCCTGGAGCTCTGACACCATGACCTGAGCCAAAATCACGAGTTGGATACGTAACCAACTGAGCCACCCAAGTGCCCCATTTTCTCTCCTTTTTTAGCATAGCAGTTGTACTTCCTTTCATGTATTTTTAGTGGTTACCCTAGAGTTTGCAATAGACATTTACAACAAATCCAACTCCGTTTTTCAAGTAACACTGTACCACCTCACCGTAGCACAAGGATTTTATAATAACAAAATGTTCCTAGTTCCTCCCTCCTGGGCCTTGTATCATTGCTGCCATTCATTTCACTTTTCCATAAGCTATACTCATTGAATACATGGCTGCTGTTATTATTTTTATAGTAATTATTATTGTTCTGTCAGATCAATTGAGAATAACAAAAATATTCTTATGAGAAATAAGAATAAGAAAAATAAATAAAAGTGTTTTTTTGCCTTCATTCATTCCTTCTCTAACGCTCTTCCTTTCTTTATGTGGCTCTGGCCTATATTATTTTCCTTCTCTCTGGAAAACAACATTTCTTAGCAGGTCTACTGGCAAAAAAATCCCCCTCCTTTTTTTTTGATCTGATACAGTGTTCTGTAGTCCTGTGATGAGGACTCAGTCTTTAGTGAGCCTGTGTCCCTGGACTGGGAACTTCACTAGTACTTCTCCGTCTTTACCCCCTTTGGTGGGACAGGATGGCTGGAGGGGCTGGAGCAGGTCAGGCTCTGGGTAACACTTGCTCCTGGGGACAGGCCTTGTTAAGAACAGAATGGTCTGGCAACTTTCAGGATGGTCACTTTCCTTTCTTGCCAGAAGCAGGGGGGATTTTCTCCCATATTCATGGTGAGAACCAGGTCAAGTTCCTGGAGGTAAGAATGACAAAAACATGCCCCCCTCCCCCAAACTGACCCTTCTGGGGTTTTTGACTCAGATTTGTCCACACTGAGCCTTCAGCAGTTCATCAGTTAGAGCTCGAGTTTTTCTCTCCTGGTTTTGGTGTCTGGGGAGGTTTCTGCTTAGGGTTTTTGATCCAGTGAGTTGTGATTCTCTGTATCAGCCTGACTTTCTCTGCGACTGGGGGGGGCAGCAGTTTGTCTTGTGACCTCAGTTCTCTGATGGAGCAAAGAAGAGTTGTTGATTTTTCAGTTTTACTTTTTACTTGTTAGGATGGATTGGCAACTTCCAGGTTCCTTCTATGCCTGACCAGAAAACAGAAGTGCAAATTTTCACTTTAAAACGACTGTTTTTATGTTCTGTGAAAAAATTCACCTCCATACAGTTTAAAAACACATACTGTAATCTCTACAGCAACTAGGTGAACCGCAGCACTTTCTCCTGGGTCCACAACCGCTGGGGTCCTGGGTCTGCGATGCCTCAGCCCCCGCCCCCCCCCAGCCCCCTTTACATTTGTGGAGATGGTTTTGTACACCTTCCTAGCCTCCTCGTCCCTCCGGGCTCCTACCCCGTAACCACCCAGACAGTTACTGGTTGCCAGCTCATTCTCCTTTGGGGACCAGGGGGCCAGGCTGCCTTGTGTGGGAGCTGGGTTCCTGGAGGTTCGCTCTTACCTGGACGGGAGAACTCCCTGCACTCAGTGCTTCCTGAGACCCACGGGTCCCAGGAGCATGAGATGCTGCATAAGAGGTCAGACGCAGGCAGCCGCCAAGCGCGCACAGCCTTGCGGGCATCAGGCGGGATTGCCCCCCCAAGTACTTACTGAGTACACAGTGTGTGCTCAGAAAAGTGCAGGTTTTGTAGCAAGTTTGGAAGTGGGGCTGCACAGTCGCCCGTGGGGCTGAGTCTGGTTGGAGGGTGTGTGCAGCAGCGGGAGGTGCGCTTGGAGCCCTGGCTGGCTGCCCAGAGGACGCTCAGAGGGCTGGGGTGGTTTTTGTGCAGTGCCCCAGGTGGTCCCCACTCAGCATCCTGTGCTTGGGTTTCAGCTTCCAAGAATGCCGAATCCAAGCTCACGGGCCTCTCGGGACAGCTCGTGGACACTGCGTGCAAGGTGTGCCAGGCCTACCTGGGGCAGCTAGAGCATGAGGGCATCGACGTCTCTGAGGACTCCACCAGGGGCCTCACAGAGGATGAGTGGAAAGACCTGACACAGCAGTACTACTCCCTCCTCCAGTAAGACGCGCCTGGTGCTCGGTGGCAAGAGTCAGCACGCACCCTGCTGGCTCACCTAAAGGGGGGGATGTGGGGCGGGCATCAGGAGTTGTCTAAGGAAGTCCCCCCTCTGGGACATCTGAAGCACCTGTCTGGGTGTTGGGGCATCTGTCTGGGTGTTGGGGCACCTGTCTGGGTGTTGGGGCACCCAGATTCACTCACTGGTGCCTGTCCCGCCAAGTCGCTGTTGGCTTATAAAAGGATGACACCTCCTTGGGGGCACCTTTGGGTACCATCTCCTTAAGCACTTTCCACACCGTTCATGTCTTTTACCTCACTTGAACCCCACGGGTGGGCTCCGGATAGTCAGGACCGGCAGAGGCCTTGCCTGGCCCAGCCCTCCTGACTCTCCAGGACCTTCAGTGCCCCTTGCTGCCTAGCAATCCAAAGGCTGAGCCTGGCTTTCCCCCTTTCTCCTGAGGGCTGGATCCTTCACAGGCTAGAGACCCAGCACCCCCTTTTTTCCTTTTTCAGAAGTCTGACTTTATTGTGCCTAGATGCAGCTTTCTTTGTTATGTCCTCTACCTAGAGATTTTTTTAATATGTGGGTTGGAATCTTTCGTCAATTTTGAAAAGTTCTCAGCCACTGTCTTCAAAATATTGCTTCTGCTTCATTCTGCTCCTCTCCTTGGACTCCAGTTATAGGCATAGCTGACCGTGTGACTGTGTTTCACACGTCTCTTCGCTCTGTCCTGTTTTCCTCGTTCCTTTTTCCTCTCTGAGTCTGCGTTTGTGTATTTTCTATCAACCCATCTTAAGGTTCCCCAGCCTTGTCTTCTGCCGTCTCCAGGCTGATTGTAAACCTGCCCAATTCTAGCTCCAGCATTGGGATGTCCTTGTATCGCTTGTGCTTGCACTTTACTCTCCATCAGATTTTTCAGCCTCTTCTTGGTCTCTTTTTGTGTGCTGCACCTTGTCCGTAAAGGAAGTACCGACAGAAGTTTACGCTGTTTCCTAAGAGGGGGCTCACACTTCCCTCTGTTGTAGATATAGTGTGTGCAGCTGATGTCCTCAACCAGTGAGCAGGGGGCAGGGCCAGATTGCAGCTCTGGGCGGGTTCAGTGCATTCTGGTGTCAAGCGTCTCAGGAGTGAAACTGAAAGATATTGTTGAAGACCCTGTCCCCGAGGAGAGACTTCTCCCCAAGTACCACGGGAAGGGGAGGTTTCACTGTCGTGACAGCCCAGACACACCATCTTCGTGCCCTGGGAAAAACTGGCCATGTGTTTTGAGCATCACTAGACTTAGGTCTTTCATGCCAGTTGACATGGCTATGTGGCTTCTCATTCCTTAAGAAAGTCCTTCAGCCTATGCCAAGCCTAAATCTCAACCTTCACCCAGATTTGGCAAATATTCTTGGGGAATAAAATGGCCAACAAACTCGGTTCACCCAAGAAAGGCTTTTCTGTGCCTAGATGTAGTTCACCTATTCCTCTTTACATCCACAGCCCTCTGATGTTTTGAGAAACATGAATTTTGCAATTTATCTGGTTTTTTTCCCCACTTGTCATAACAGGCATAATGGCTATAGCCACTACCTACTACTTACGACCTGAGTAAGGAAGCATCCTAATTCTTATTAATCATTTTATTTTATCTCCTGTATTTGGTTTCTGGTTACACAATTTTGTTCTTATGTTTCAGGGTTTACCTTGGAGATTACAGTATACATTCTTGATTTATTATTGCTTGTCTTCAGTCAGACCTTCACTGGTTCCCAAACAGCATCACAGCAGTGGGATTCCATTCGCTCTCTGCTCATTCCTTACGCTCTTGTCATTTATTTCACCTCTCTCTCTCTCTATCTTCTATTTTTAAAAAGATTTTATTTATTTATTTAGAAAATGTGCAAGTAGGGGGAGGGGCAGAGGGTAAGAGAGAGAGAGAATCCAAGCAGACTTGGCGCTGAGCCCAGCGCCTGACACAGGGCTCAATCCCACCACCCTGAGATCACAGCCTGAGCCAAAATCAAGAATCAGACACTTAGCCAACTGAGCCACCAGGTGCCCCTTGTTTTCCATTTTTAACTGTCGTAGAATAAACATAACAAAATTTGTTGTCTGAACCATTTTAAAATAGTCACCTAAGTACCTCAATAGTGTTGTGCAACCATCAGCACCATCAATCTTCATAGCCCTTTTCATCCTGTAAAACTGACACTCTGTCCCCATTAAACGCCAACTCCACATATTCCCTCCAGCTCTTGGCCCCCACCATCTACTCTCTGTCTCCATGAATTTGTCTCCTCCAGGTGCCTCACAGAAGTGGAATCATACAAGATTTGTCTTTTTGTGACTGGCTTATTTCATTTATAATGTCCTCAAGTTTTATCCATGTTGTAGCAGATATCAGAGTTTCTTTCCTTTTAAAGGATAAATAATATTTTGTTGTATGTATATAGTACATTTTGCTTATTCATTCATCTGTCAATGGACATTTGTGTTGCTTCCACATTTTAGCTCTTGTGAATAATGCTGCTGTGAGCAAGGGTGTGCTACTATCTCTTTGAGATCCTGCCCTCAATTCTTTTGGGTATGTACCCAGAAATGGAATTTCTGGGTTATATGGTAATGCTATTTTTAATTTTTTGAGGAACTTCTGTACTATTTTCCACAGCAGCTGCACCATTTTACATCCCCACCAATAGTGCACAAGGGTTCCAATTTCTCTACATCCTCACCAACATTTGTTATTTTCTGTGCTTTTAAAAAATAATATCGATTTTCATGGATGTGAGGAGGTATTTTACTATAGTTTTGATCTTCACTTTCCTAATGATTAGTGGTATTGAGCATCTTTTCATGTGCTCATTGGACATCTGTATGTCTTCTTTGGAGAAGTGTCTGTTCACATCTCTTGCCCATTTTTGAATCAAGTTAGCTTGTTATTTTTGAGTTTGGGGAGCTCCCTGCACATTCCGGATGTGAGCCCCCATCAGATACATAACTTCCAAATGGTTTCTCTCATTTTATGGGTTTTGCCGTTTTACTCTGTTGATTATATCTTTTGATGCACACATTTAAAAACTTTTCATGAAGTCCAATTTGTCCATTTTTTTCTCTTGTTGCCTGTGCTTTGGTCTCATATCCAAGAAATCATTGAGAAATTCAATGTCTTGAAGATTTTGCCCTATGTTTTCTTCAAGATTTTCACAGTTTTTGGTCTTACATTTAGGTCTTTGATCCATTTTGAGTTAATTTTTGCACATGGTTTTAGGTAAGAACCCAAATTCATTCTTTTGGTTATGGATATCCAGTTTTCCCAGTACCATTTGTTAAAGAGACTGTCCCTTCCCCCATTGAATAGTATTGGCACCCTTGTCAGAAATCATTTGACTATATATGTGAGGGTTTATTTCTGGGGTCTCTATTCCATTTCATTGCTCTTGTGTCTGTCTTCATGTCAGTAACACACTGTTTTGATTACTGTGGCTTTGTAGTAAGTTTTGAAATCAAAAAGTGTGTGTCGTCTAACTTTGTTCTTCTTTTTCAAGATTGTTTTGGCTATTTGGGGTCCCTTGAGAGTCCATTTGAATTTAAGAATGGGTTTTTCTATTTCTGTGAAAAACATCATTGGGATTTTGAATAGGGATTGTATTGAATTTGTAGGTATTTTGCGTACTATTAAGATCTTAAACAATATTAAATCTTTTAATCCATAAACATGGATGTGTTTCCATTTATTTATGTCTTCTTTAATTTCTCTCAGCAATTTTTTTTGTAGTTTTGGTTGTACCTTTCACCTCCTTGGTTAATTCCTAAGTATTTTATTATTTTTGATGTGATTCTAAGTGGAATTGCTTTCATAATTTCCTTTTCAGATTGTTCCTTGCTAGTGTATAGATGTGCAACTGATTTTTGTTTGTTGACTTTGTATCTTGCTACTTTGTACTTCACTTATTAGATGTAACATGGTTTTTTGGTGGAATCTTTAGGATTTTCTGCATATACAATCATATCATCTGCAAACAGATAATTTTACTTCTCCTTTTCTAGTTTGCCATTTATTTCCTTTCCTTGTCTGATTGCTCTCACTAGCATTTCTATTACTCTGTTGAATGTTGAAAGTAGGCATTCTTGTCTTATTCTTTTTTTTTTTTTTTCCTTAAGTAGGCTCTACATCCTATGGGGACCCCAGCACAGGACTTGAACTCACAGCCCTGAGATCAAGAATTGTTTGCTTTACTGATTGAGCCACCCTGGCACACCCCTTGTCTTATTCTTAATCTTAAAGGAAAAATTTCCAGTCTTTCACCATTGAGTATGGCATTTGCTGTAGGTTTTCATATACAGCCTTTATTATGTTGAGGTAGTTTCCTTTTATTCCTAGTTTGTTGAGTGTTTTTATCAGGAAAGGATGTTCAATTTTGTCAAGTGTCTTTTCTGCATCAATTGAGATGGTCATGTGGGTTTTTCCCCCTTCATCTGGTAATGTGATACATGACATTAATTGGTTTTCAGATGTCGAACCATCCCTGCATTCCTGGAATAAATCCCACCTGGTCGTGGAGTGCAGTCCCTTAACATGCTGCTGAGTCTGGTTTGCTAGCATTTGTTGAGGATTTTTGCATCAATGTTCATAAGGGACATTGGTGTGTAGGTTTCTTTTCTTGCAGTGTCTTTGTGTGGCTTTGGTATCAGGGTAATCCTGGCCTCATAGAATGAGTTAGGAAGTGTTTCCTCATCTTCCATTTTTTGGAAAAGTTTGGGAAGGACTCATATGGTTCTTCTCAAATTGTTTGATAGAATTCACCATGGAGCTGTCAGGTCCTGGACTTTTCTTATTTGGGAGATTTTTGATTACTTTAATTACTGATTCAATCCCTTCAGTAGTTATAAATTTATTTATATTTTCTGTTTCTTCACAATTTAGTCTTGGTAGGTTTTGTGTTTCTTGGGAATTTGTCCATTTCATCTAGGTTATCCAATTCATTGGTGTACATCTGTTCATAGTTCTCTCTTATAATCTTTTTTGTTCTTGTAAAATCAGTAATAATGTCACCAATATTATTTTTTATTTTGATAACTTGAGTATTCTCTCTTTTCTAAGTCCATTGAGCTAAAGGTTTGTCAATTTTGTTGATCTTCTCAAAGAACCAACTTTTAGTTTAATTAATTTTCTCTATTTTGATTAATTCTGCTCTAATCTTTATTGATTACTTTGTTCTACTAGCTTTGGGTCTAGTTTATTCTTTTTCTAGTTTCTTAAGTTGCAAAGTTAGGTTGTTGATTTGAGATTTTTCTTGTTTTTTTAATGTAAGCCTTTATAGCTGTAAGTTTCCCCTTTAGCACAACTAGCAATCCCATATGTTTTAGTATGTCGTGTTTTCATTTTCATTTGTCTCTCAGTATTTTCTAATTTCCCTTGTGATTTCTTCTTTGATCCATTGGTTATTTAAGAATGTGTTAATTTTGTGAGGGTGACTGGGTGTCTCAGTCTGTTGAGCGTCAGAGTCTTGATTTCAGCTCAGGTCTTGATCTCAGGATCAGGAGTTCAAGCCCAGCTTTGGGCTCTACCTGGGGAGCCTACTAAAAATTTTTTTAAAAAAAGAATGTGTTAATGTCCACAAACTTGTTTCTCCACTTGATTAGATCTTTTAAAATGTATGTCAATGATGTTTTGTAATTTTCAGTGTTCAGATCTTGCATTTCTTTTGTTAAATGTCTTCCTATGTGTTTTATTCTTTTTGATAATATTATAAATGGAATTGTTTTCTTAATTTTGTTCTGGGTTTTTTTGTTGGCAGAATATAAAAATATAATTGATTTTTAAAAGATTTCATTTATTTGTGTTAGAGAGAGAGAGAGAGTGGCAGGGAGGGGGAGAGAGAGAGAGAAACCCAAGCAGACTCCACACTGAGTGCAGAACCAACACGGGGCTTGATCTCACAACTCTGAAACCAAGAGTCAGATGTTCAACTGCCTGTGCCACCCAGGCGCCCCTGTAATTGATTTTTTTATATAGATCTTGTAACTGTGACTTTGCTGAACCCATTTATTAGTTCTAGTACTTTGTACTGTGTGTATGTGTGTTCCTTAGGATTTTCTACATATAGGATAAATAAAACAATTTCATTTCTTCATGTCCAATTTAAGTTACAGGAACTCAAATTTGCTTTACCATTCAAAAGTTGATCAGTGGGGTATTAGTCATCCTTAAAAAGGAAGTTCATCAATGGATGAACCTTGAGGACATTATAAATGAAAAATACAAATATTGTGTGATTTCACTTATATGAGGTACTTAGAGTGGTCAAAATCACAGAGACAGAACGTAGATGATGGTTACCAGGGTCTGGGGGAGGGGATGGGGAGTGAGTGTTTAGTGGGGACAGAATTTCAGTTTGGGAAGATGAAAAAGTCCTGGGGACAGACGGGGGTGATAGTTGCACAATATAAATATTCTTAATACTACTGAACCGTACACTTAAAATGGTTAAGATGGCAAATTTTATGTTATATGTACTTTGCTACAATAAAAAAATTGAAAGAATGTCAATTGGTAGATTTTACCCCATTTACAGAATAAAGAAGAAAACTATATGATCATCTCAATAGATGCAAAACATTGATGAAGTTCCATAATGTGCATGTTACTTTTTTTTTTTTTTTTAGTGAACTAGAAAAAGAAACTTCCTTAATTGGAAAAGCTTATGTACAAAAATTCTAAAGCTAACACACTTCTTAATGGTATATATTGAAATTGTTCTCCTTGAAATCAGAATGAGACAAAAATGCCCACTATCATGACCGCTATTCAGTATGGACTGAATGGTCTGTTTAGTTTAAAAGTACAGAAGGAAAGAAATAAAAGGCATAAGATCAGAAAGAAGCAAAACTATTTACTGAAAACCTGATTATGCACATAGAAAATTTAAAAAATCGTACAGAAAGTTACGTGAGTTTAGTGAGGTCAGTAGGCACCAGGTCAGTATACAAAACTCCGCTGTGTTCCTATACACTAACAAAAATCATAGATTGGAATTCTAAAAATGCAGCCTATAATAACATCAAATAACAACAAATATCCAGAGAAAAATAACAATATAAATTGAAGACCCTAAACAGAACATTATAAAATTAAATAAAAATAGTGACCTAATAAGTATGTGTGTGTATAATAAAACCATGTTCATAAATTAGAAAACTCAGTGGTATATTTTTTTTCTTCCCAAACTAATCTAGAGATTCAATGTAATCCCAATCAAAATCTATGCAGGAATTTTTCTTGGGGGCTTGAGTGGGAGGAATTGACAAACTGATTCTGAAATTTATTTGGAAATACAAATGATTTCAGAAAAGCCAAGACAAACTTGATCAAGAAAAACAAAATTAGAGAATTTCTACCCATATTTCAAGACTTACTACAAATGTACCTAATCCAGACAGGGTGGCATTGGGTTATGGGGCATTACCAGACCAGCGCCACGAAACAGCATCTAGATGCAGATCCTCATGCACATGGTCACTTAGGACCAACCCTTAGGAAGGATTAGTCCTTGCACTAAATGGTGCTTGAGCAGTGAGCATCCTTGTGAACAAAAAAGATGTATCTTGAATCCTGTCTCCTAAATACATAAAGATTAATTTGAGGTGTATCATGTGATAGGTGAAAGTTACAGAAAAGGAAAACATTGGAGTATATCTTCGTGACCACAAGGAAGGCAGAGATTTCTTAAATAGTCCACTAAGCACTAACCATAATAGAGCAAGTCTATAAATTGTACTTTATTGACATGAAAACTGTTTATGAAGAAACACTACGCAGAGGATGCAAAGCCCAGCCACAGAGTGGAGGCACACACTTATAACACGCATACCCACCCACAGGGTCTCGCGGCATCTCACGGGCTCTCTGGATCTTGCTTTGTAGTGGTGAGGCGTTCATCTCCAATTCGAGAAATCACTTTTCGCAGTGCCAGGCTCTGCTGAATAAAATCACGTCTGTGAACCCTCAGACGGAGATCGACGGGCTTCGGAACATCTGGATCATAAAGCCGGCGGCCAAGTCCCGTGGCCGAGGTGAGTCGGAGGCTGGACGCTGAGAGGTGGCCACCTGCGGCCCCCAGAGCGCAGCGCGCGTCCGGGCACAGGTGCATGACTCGGGGCTCTCTGCGGGGCAGGTGGCTCTGAGACACTGGTCTTCATGGCCCACTTCCGAGGTTTGCTTATGAACTGGGATGTTCCCAAGTTAAACTGGGCTGTACTTCTCTTTTTATATTACCTCGCCCAGTCTTGGCAACAGGCTTACCCTAGCTGCTAAGATGGACTGAGGACTTCCATCTCAAGCAACAGCGGAATTCCCGTTCCTTACTCACCTGTAATCACCGGGCTCTCCTGGAGGCCCCTCCTTAAGGCCTGTACCTTTTGTCTGTGGTTTTTGTCTGGTGGGCTCAGGCTTTGTACCTCATCTTGTGTTGTAGCTCAGACTGCGTCCTCTTTATTCCTAATGGTGAAAACTGTGGGTTCTTTTTAAAACAGGGATTTCAAGGTTTTTTAAATCTTATTTGCGTTTACAAAGAACCAACCTTAGGTTGCATTTTTCCAATTTCCTCTGAGGGATATTATCCCCCTTGGCTCTGACTTTAAGGCTAAGCTTATTTATTTCCAGTCTTTCTCGTACAACAAAAGCCTTAAGTCTATGAGATCTCCTCCCAAAACGGCCCTCACTGCAACATCCGACATCTGTGTTCTCACTTTCCAGAGTATCTAAATAGACTTTAATATTTTTTTTTTGGATATTTTATTTTCCCCTTGAGTTATTTGAAGAGTTTTGTTGTTGTTTTAAATTCATAAGTGGTTCATTTTTACATGATTTAAAAAAATGTTTATTAATTTGAGATGTTACTGCACCTGGCCTTCCCCAGCTGTCCTCTGAGTGCCCAACCTCCGGGGTCGGGCCAGGGCTCCTCCATGGGCTCTATCCTGAGCCTGCTGCTCTTGATAGTGGCATCCGTCTGCAGGTGGCTCCCTCCTCCTGTCCGTCAGGCCCGACCTTCCTCCCACTGCAGACACCTGCGTCCCCAGGAATGCCCCACAGAAACCTCAGACCCAGCTGTTCAAATCCAAATGCAGGGCTTTCTGGCTGGGCACTGCCTGGGCCCCTTGCTGCTCTGAGCCCAGGATAACCTCAGAGGTTTGTTGCTTTGCCCTAGTCTTTCATTTCCAGATGGCAAGGTCTCAGCTTACAGTTGAAGAGACTACACTTACATTTTTGTGGGGAAAGCTCACCTCATGTGTTGCTATGCCTTGTGCCTTGGGGCCTCTGCACATGGTGCTCCCCTCTAGTGATGTGTCGGTCAGGATAGGCCAGATTGTGCTGGGTAACAAGCAGTCCCCAAACTTCAGTGGCTATCAGTGAGACCCATTCATCTCTACTCATGCTCGTCCATTGTGGGTTGACATGAGAAGGTAGTTGTGGGCGGTTGGGGTTCTGCTCACCAAAGTCCTCCCCACATCTTGTGACATCACTCCCTCCAGGCTTCAGGGTTGTCATGGCAGAGAAAGAGAGGGCTGGAGGGTCTGGTGGTGACCCAACAGACGAGAGGGGTGCATGTCCCCTCTACTCAGAGGTCACTGGTCACCATTAGTCACATGGCCTAACTTTGGGGGGTTGAGGATGAGAAGTTGCAAAGTGGAGGAGGACCAGAGTGGGTGTGCAGTCCTACCATTTGTCCAGGCACCCTCGGGAGTGAGGCCTCACCAGACCCCAGGCCCCTGGACACCTGCCACCCCTGTCTGCTGGTTCCCTGAGGCCCACAGAGCTTCCCTGCCCCCTGTCCACCGCACACCCAGGGCTCGTGCTCAGCCACCCCTCGCTGGCTGCCTTTAAACATACGTCTGGCCCCATCCCTGCCCCTCTCCATTCTGTGTCCTCTCTTGAATCCTGGGGGCTTGCCCCCTGGTGGGAGAGCCTGGGGGCCTGGCACCAGCTGTGGCCTCCATCCTGAGGGCAAAGCCTTCCCTGCTGGGCCACCCAGGTGCGCTGCCTCCCGGGCCTGGGTCAAAGCCACGTTGGGTCTCAGAGCTGACGCGCGACCCTGCACGCCGTGCCTGGGGCTCAGTGGTGACTTCTTGCAGACATCGTGTGCATGAACCGAGTGGAGGAGATCCTGGAGCTGGTCGCTGCAGACCACCTCTCTGCCAAGGACAACAAGTGGGTGGTGCAGAAGTACATCGAGACCCCACTGCTCATCTATGACACCAAGTTCGACATCAGGCAGTGGTTCCTGGTCACTGACTGGAACCCCCTGACCATCTGGTTCTATAAGGAGAGCTACCTGCGGTTTTCTACACAGCGCTTCTCCCTGGAAAATCTGGACAGGTCAGTTGGAGCGTCAGCTTGGTGCCACTGGGTGTGAGGGGGCACAGTGTGTGCCCACGACACCTGTGGGAAAGGGGTGGGGTGCCAGGCCATGTCTGCTGTCCCCCATCACCATCAGGGGCACAAATGAGGAGGGAAGCTGGGGTAGGTTAAATGAGCTCCATCCCCAAGGGGCAGGCCCAGGCCTGCTGTTCTTCAAAGCCCATGCTCTGCACCCCATAATGTGTGAATCTTCTCTAGAAGATCCTCAAAGCTCCATGTGCCACGTGCCCACAAGGTGCAGGCACGGCCCGGGGATGACACATCTCAGCGACAGGTCCAGAGCCCCCCCTGTGTGGATGCTGTCCCCTCTACTGGAAGGGCTGAGTGGAGGCCCTGCTCACACGCTGACCCACAGCTGGCCAAGCTTGGGGTGCATACTTTGCCTGCCGCGCTGTCCTGCTCTCTTTGGGTCCAGCTGGCACACAGGACTGGATGCCTTTGGAGGCTCCGGGGGGACATCTGCCTTGCCAGCCCCTCAAACCCCCTCCCTAGTCCCTGAAGGGCCTTCTCTTTATGAGCCCCAGAAGTCCTGGGGTGGGGGTCCTGCAGACAGCTGGGGAGGTAGGGGTGTTCAGCCCCTGATGAGGCAGCCTGTGGGGCGTGAGAATGGCCTGAGGGGTCCTCTGAGGATCCCAGCTGTGCCAGGCAAGACAAGAAGTGGGGAGCACCTGAGCCAGAAAAGGCCAGGACCGTGTGGGCCGCACCCCAGATCCCAAGGCCCCTGGGGGGCATGGTGCTGGGGAGGGTGCCACATGGAGAGGCTCAGACGTCCCGGAAGAGGGTGCCAGGGGTGGCAGAACCCACACCTCGCCAGGGTCTCTGAGTGGGCAGGACATGTGTGTGTGCGAGGCCCCTCTGCAAAGCCGCAGGAGTGAGGCAGAGAATTCCCCTTGCCTCTGTCCAAACCAGAGGCTTCCCTGTTCTGCCTTGTGACCCCCTCGTTGTGCGGGGCTGGGTGCCTAGGCATCTTGACCAGGAGCTTTACAGGGGAGTCACACAGAATTGAAAGGGCACGGTGGGCATGGGGCCTACTAAAGAAAGGGAGGGGTGCCTGGGTGGCTCAGTTGGTTAAGCATCCGACTCTCCACCTCGGCTCAGAATTGAGAGGGCTGGGAGCTGTTCAGCTGACACCTCGGGCATGTTAACTGTGCCCCCAGGCTAGGGGCTGTGGCCACACCAAGAGTCGCACCTGGCAAGTGACGTTTGGAGTCACACTTGTCAGGCAGGCTCTGCTGGGGAGAAGTTGTTCTGTCCGGCAGCTCCCGGAGCGAGTTTGTCTCTGCCAGGCCAGGGCGGCCTGGAGGAGGGGTCGGGCAGCTCACTGTGCACAAGGAGCCCCTTCCAGCCCCGCCCCGCCCCAGGCCACCGGACCCACCAAGCCATGACGGGATGCCTAGCAGATCTCTTGCCCTCTCTGAGCCCCATTTCTCCATCTGGGATCATAACCCTCACCCCAGATGAATAGGAGATTCCCTGAAATCATTTCTGATTGGGCATGGCCCAGCCTCCGATACACTGGCCACAATGGGTCCACTGTGGGTCCACTACCCTAATTCCGTGGATCTCAGGTCCCAAGGCCCTTCTGTCCTCTGGAAGTACAACCTCTCCAGGGTTACAGGGACGGGTCTTATGACCCAGAGCCACATGGCTCATCTAGTCCAGTTACCTGTTTCAAAACCTGTTTGGAACAAGGCAAGTGTGTAAATTAATTAGTTTCACAGAGACTCTTTCTCACTTTGTCTCACCAGACCAGCTCTTCAAGAGCCACATCTCTATTGCCAGGTGCAGATGGGGAAACTGAGGCTCAAGCTATCAGAGCCCCTCCTGCAGCCGCCCTGCGGTGGGGTGGGGGGGCGAGGGCGAGAGAGAAGAGTGTCCGGGGGCGGGGTTAGCGGGGGTTTGGGGTTCCGTGGGGGCAGAGGGTCGGCGGGGGTGGGGTCTCGGGGGAGGTATCTGCGCGGACATCGGGATAGGTGGAAGCCATAAGGGTTCTGGAGACTGGGTCATGGGGTCCAGGGTCACGGTCCGGGAGTGGGATCGCGGGCCCCAGCGTGGAGACGGGGTCGCGGCGAGTGGAGGTCCGGGGTCCTGGGGCGGGGGAGGTGGGAGGCGGTCTGGGGGTGGGGGGTCGCGCGTCTGGGTGGTGGGGGTGGAGGTCCGGGGTCGTGGGGCGGGGGAGGTGAGAGGCGGTCCGAGGGCGGGGTCGCGAGTTCAGAGTCCCAGGAACCTCAGGCTGACCGCGGCTTGCCTCGCGCAGCGCCATCCACTTATGCAACAACTCCATCCAGAAGCACCTGAAGAACGACAAGGACCGCAGCCCCCTGCTGCCCTACTACAACATGTGGACCAGCACCAGGTTTCGGGAGTACCTGCAGAAGAGGGGCCGCGGGGCCGTGTGGGCCAGCGTCATCTACCCCGCCATGAAGCGGGCCATCGCCAACACCATGAGGGTGGCCCAGGACCACGTGGAACCGCGCAAGAACAGCTTCGAGCTGTACGGGGCCGACTTCATCCTGGGGCGCGACTTCCAGCCCTGGCTGATCGAGATCAACTCCAGCCCCACCATGCACGCGTCCACGCCCGTCACGGCCCAGCTGTGCGCCCAGGTGCAGGAGGACACCATCAAGGTGGTCCTGGACCGCAAGGTCGACCGCAACTGCGACATCGGCAACTTCGAGCTGCTGTGGAGACAGGTGAGGGGCGCAGCGCTGGGGGTGGGGGGGACGCGGCACCTGCTGCCCACCGTCCCTGGCTGTGGCCACTTCAGGCAAAGGGAGCAGACAGTAACTCGGGTAGCCCCGGGGACTCCCTGGCCCCAGCTGGCCTTCACCACTCTGCTTTATTCCCTCTCCTCCCTAGCCATCCCCAGCTCTGTGGTCACCAGGCGAGGAGGCCCCCTGCTTGGAATGGTAGGAGGCCCATGGCCTCCAGGCTCAGAATCTAGGCTGTTCCTTTCCAGACCTTCAGTGTCCGCCCTCCTCCCACCTGGGGAAAACCGTGTCCTCCTTCAGGGGTCCCGCCTGGTGCCTGCTCCCTGCTGCGAGCCTTCCTGCAGGCCAGGAGGCAGGGCTGGGTGGTCACTTTGCCAGGGACTCCGGTTCCATGGGGGGATCCTGTGCCCGGGCCTGTCTGGAGGAGGGACCTGGTGGGCAGCCCAGCAGCCACAGGGAAGTGTGGCCTGGGCTTCTCTTGAGGCCTGACCGCCAGCAGGCCGACCAGCAGACACAGGAAGGGGGGGAGCACCAGTCCCTGGGCACTAACGCCACCCTCCTCTGCCTAGCCTGCTGTGGAGCTGTCACCCTTCCACGGCTCTGACCTTTGCGTGGAAGGCGTTAGCGTGAGGAAAGCCAAGAAGCAGATGCCGACCATTTCCAACGTGAATTTTTCATCTTCCCTCTTGGACATTCAGCCCCTAAAAGTGAGGTGCCCCTTGGCCATGCCAAACCAGCCTCTAGGACCTCCACACTCGGCTCTCCAGCAAGACTCGAAACTAAAAGATGCAAAGGTACTTCCTTGCACCTTGCCTGTGCCCCTCAGGAGGTCGGCTGAGAGAAGCTGTAAAGTGCAGTCTGCCAACGCCGTGTCTGGCGGGAAGATAGAGTTCCCCACTTGTAATTTTCAACACATAGACAGTAAGGCCCCAAAAACTGGTCTGACCAAAGCCGAGTCCAACCAACACTCGGATCCAAACATACTGAATGAGCACCCACTGCCGTCCGTGCTCCCGAGCATGAAGACAGTGGAGGGCGCTCTGTTTCAGCCACCCAAACCACCAGGTAACAGTGCGGCTGCTTGTGCCCGTCTGAGTCCTGGGTCTGCTGGGGGCTGCCCGTGGCCCGGGCAGGGAGCGTGTCCTGATGTGGGCACTGGCCTGAGCTCAGAGCAGGGTTTGGGGCACCCTGGCCCCATCCTGGGACTGGCCAGGTTGTTGGGACAGTGGGGCTCCTGCAGCAGGGACCCCTCGCAGGACGGGGTGGGTGACGGCCTCTGTCTCACTCCTGGTGTGGCATAGTGCACATGGGGGATTGAACGTGCCAGGTGCCGTGGACAGGTGCCAGCGATCCCTGGGCTCTTGCCTTCAGTTTTCTGAATTTCCTGGTGGAGTTGACCATGCGTGGCCTGGGAGCCTGACCTGGGCCTGGGCTCAGAGCACAGGTAGACAGGTGTGGGGCAGCCCCGAGGCTCTGGGGGTGGCCCCGCCCTGTCTGTACCTCAGTGCACCTCCAGTGGCGTCTGGCACCCAGCAGTGGCCCCGAGAGTATGTGTGATGAAAAGGCACGAGCCAGGCCATTCCCACACCCCCAGCTGGTTCTGCTCCAGGGACATTTGCTTCCTCAAACGCCCTACATCTGTACCTGCTGTTCCCTCCACCTGCCTGGGGCTCCGTCCCTTTCTCCCCCACCCTTCCTCCCCCCTTCCCTCCCTCTCTCCGCGCCTCCCTCCCTGGCACCAAACCCTCTTTGCCACCCCCTGCCCCACCTGCTGCTCGTCTGTCTCTCCCAGAGCGTGGGTCTCTAATGGCAGAGTGCTTTCTGCTGTTCTCACGCTCGCCGCAGCGCCTGGGACTGTGCATGGCACAGAGCTAGGGCTCAGGAAATGTTTGTTGGATGAAGATGTGTGGACTGCCTCCAGAGTTGTGGGCTCCGGCTTGGGCTCCAGGATCAGAGCTGGCAGTGCCCTCGGAGGACATCCCCAGCCCATCCTCTCTCCGCGCCTCGCGTCCAGTCCGTCTCGGAGGCTGGTCAGCCCTACCGCTCAGCAGCTTGCCTCTGTGAGGACGATTTCCAGATTTTTTGCTGTTATGAAAACACAGTGTACTTTTCCTACCACACTGTGCGGCTTCCGACAGGCATCTTTCTAGGAGTGAAGTGTTAATGAGGTGCATCAGCCACTGTCACTAAGCAGCACCGACCGGGTGGCTTAAAGACAGAAATGTGTTCTTTCAAAGTTCTGGAGCCCGAAGTCTGGAATCAAGGTGTTGGCAGGGCCATGCTCCCCCAGGCTGTGGGGGAGGAATCCTTTCTTGTCTCTTCCAGCTCCTGGTGGCTGCTGGCTATCCCCTGTGTTCCTTGGCTTGTAGATGTGTCACCGCAGGCCCTGCCCTGTCTTCACATGGTGTTCTTTCTCTGGGTCTCTGTGGCCAAATTTCACTCTTAGAAGGACACCATTGTTAGATTGGCATCCACCCTCCTCCCTCTGGTATGACAGCTTAACTCGATGACATTTGCAATGACTATTTCTAAATAATGTCACATTCACAGATTCCAAGTGGACATGACCTTGTGGGGTGGGGCTCTTGAACCTGGTACACTGAGCCGTAGAAGCCCGGCTAACGGGGCTGCCCTCGGACTGCATCCACACCGAGGCTGGTGGCTCCCACTGTTGCCAACGCCGGGCACCGAGAGACATCTTAATGTTTGCCTTTGGAGACAGTGCCACGGTGCTCACTTGCCTTTTCCGCTTTCCAATAAAATGGCCCGTTTTCAGACATGTGTTGGCCATTACTTTTCCTCTCCTAAAAAGTACCCACTCAAGCCTTTTGTGCAATTGTCCTTAGACTCACGGGTCTGTTTCTCTTGGATCGGTAGGAGCGACGTCTGTTCTGGATTCTCCTTTTTCAGTTGACTCTTTTGCAAATACTGTCCCCCACTTTGTGTTGTGTCTTTTTGGTCCTTTATGGTATCCTTTGATGTCAAGCCCCCTTAATTTTAATAAACTTAAACTAGTCAACCTTTTCCTCTATGCTTGGAGATTTTTGTGGCTTCTATCCTTACCCTGAGGTCATGAAAATAATCTCCAGTGGCTTCTTCTGTAAGCACTGCCAAGTTGCTCCTACATTTGTCTTTAATGCTCCTGGAATTAATTTGCATGTGGTGTGACAGAGGTCCTATGACAGTGTTACAGGGGCACCCAATTGTGGGGAGCCCCTGTCCCACACACGGCATATATGGTGTCTCTGGACTTCCTGGTCCGCTTCGTCGGTCTGTTCGTCTGCCCTGGGCCAATGCCACAATGTCCTCGTCACTGCAGCTCTGTAGGACATCTTTATGCTGTTCAGGCAAGTCCCACAATCTTGCTTTTCTTCCTTGGAAATGACTCGGCTGCTCTTGACCCCTTATGCTTCCATACAGGTTGTAGACCCAGGTTGTCAAGACCCATCAAACAAATTAAGATTAAAAAATTGTTATTGAGGTTAAATTCACATATCAGTTTGGGGAGAACTGACTTCTTTACATTATTGAGTCTTATAATCTATGAACATGGTATAGCTCTCCATTTACTTATCCTTTATTGTTTTTCAGTAAACTCCTAGACTTTTCTTGGTAATGGTCTTACACTTTTTTTAAAGTTAGATTTAGCCTTATATGTGTTTTATTTTTTATTGTTTTTTTAAAAAAGATTTTATTTATTTATTTGAGAGAGAGAGAGAGAAACAGCATGAGAGGGGAGAAGGTCAGAGGGAGAAGCAGGCTCCCCGCTGAGCAGGGAGCCTGATGTGGGACTCGATCCCAGGACTCCGGGATCATGACCTGAGCCGAACGCAGTCGCCTAACCAACTGAGCCACCCAGGTGCCCTGTGTTTTATTTTTTATTCTATGGTAAGTAATATCAAAATTTGTATGTCTTCTACAAATTGTGGCTGGTTGATAGAAATGGAATTGACTTTTGTGGATCGATTTCTTTTTAGTCCAGCCATCTGGTTATTGTTTCTACCAATTCTATTAATATATTTGAAGGTTATTTTGGATTTTTCACATACACAATTATATCGTCTGAAGAGTCTTCTTTTTCCTGCTATATCATTGTACGTTTTGTATCTTTTTCTTACTTTATTGCACTGTATAGAACCTTACTTCATTCATTCATTTTTCTCATTTCAATGGATCTCAGGTGCACATACTCTGGTTAGTCATAATCCTTGGTTCATGTAGCACAGTTTCATTGTTTGTCCTTACAAGGCCCGCTGTTCTTTAGATAGTTTTAGAAACATAATTAGGGGGCGCCTGGGTGGCTCAACTGGTTGAGTGTCTGCCTTCAGCTCAGGTCATGATTCCAGGGTCCTGGGATTGAGCCCCACATCCTGCACCCTGTTCAGTGGGGAGTCTGCTTCTCCCTCTGCCCCTCCCCTTGCACATGCCTTCTCTCTCTCTCTCAAATAAAGTCTTTAAAAAAAACATAATTAGAACCAAACAGTGATCTACATCCACCCATCTCTAGCACCACTATCTCCTTGCATCTCCCCCTGAAGTAACCATTATCCTTTTTTTTTTTTTAAGATCTTATTTATTTATTTGACGGAGCGACACAGTGAGAGAGGGAACACAAGCAGGGGGAGTGGGAGAGGGAGAACCAGGCTTCCCGTGGAGCAGGGAGCCCGATGCGGGGCTCAATCCCAGGACCGTGGGATCATGACCTGAGCCGAAGGCAGACTCTTCACTGACTGAGCCACCCGGAACCCCACAGCGCATTTCTCTGTGAGACTATTTTACAATGACTCTTCCACTTTCCTGCGATTGTGTATTTAGGTTGTTTCCAGGGTTTGCTGTTGTGAATAGTGCGTCTGTAAACATTCTTGTACATGTCTCTTGTACGTGAGTGAGTGTTTCTTGTGAGTAGATGCTTCAGAATGGAATTGCTAGCTCATGGGATATACGAATGCTCAATTTTGGGAGGTGTCAACAAACTGTTTTCCAAAGTGCTTTGACATGATTTCTGCTCTTACCAGGAATGTATGAGAGATCGTGAGAATCCGTGGAATTACCAACATTTTGAGTCATCAGATTTTCTCATTTTCACCCATCAAATGGACGTAAGAAAAGTCTTGTTCTGATCTTGATTTGCATTTCAGTGATTAATTGTGTTAAATATCTCAGTATGTGTTAATTATGTAAATTCCTCTTCTGGGAGATATCTGTTCATATCTTTTGCCTGTTTTTCTATGGGGTTGTTTATGCTCATAATATCTATTGTAAACAGCTTCTCCCAGTTTGAAACTGTACTTTCAGTTTTTAAAAAGTATCTTTTGATGAAAACTGTGAGTTTTAATGTGGCCAAAGTTATCAGTATTTTTTTTTAGTCAGTGCTATTTTTGTTTTAAGAAATTTTTCCTGGGACACCTGGGTGGCTCAGTTGGTTAAGCATCTGCCTTTGGCTCAGGTCATGATCCCAGGGTCCTGAGATCGAGTCCCACATCGGTGGGGGGGGGGGTCCCTGCTCGGCGGGGAGCCTGCTTCTCCCTCTGCCTGCCACTCCCCCTGCTTGTGCTCTCGCTCTCTCTCTGTCAAATAAGTAAATAAAATCTTAAAAAAAAAAAAGAAATTCTTCCTTACCCTGAGGTTTAAAATATTATTTACCTACATTTATTACTAAGAGTTTCAAATTTTGTCTTTGACGTATAAGTCCTAACCTATCTGGAATTGATTTTTGAATTTGGTATGGGAAGAATCAACTTTTATCTTTGTCCATAGGGATAACAACCTTTTTCATTTATTTGTTGAAAAATCCCTTTCTTTCCTGCTTTGTGAACTGACATCTCATTCTGTACCTGTATTGGTCGATCTCTGGAGTCTCTATTCTATTCCACAGGTGAATTTGCACCCCTGTACCAGTGCCACACTGTCTTCACATCTGGGGGGCAAGTTGCCTCTCTCTGGATAAGGGTTCTGGTCCTTCTTGGACTCATTCCCTTCTGTATAAATGTCATAATTGCTTTCATCAAGATCCACAGCTAATCCTATTGAGATTTTGGTTGGATTTGCATTGAATCCCTAGATCAATTTGGGGGAAATTGACAAATTAATGAAAT